AGATCTGAGGTTTAACGTTAAAATTTTGGACAGGTTTGCAGAATGCTTTTGGTGCTAAGTTTAAGTTGAGTTCGGCATATCATCCGCAAACAGATGGTCAGATAGAGAGGACTATCCCGTCTTTGGAGGATTTGTTGAGGGCTTGTGCGTTGGAACAATGGGGTGCTTGGGACAGCCACTTGCCATTGATTGAGTTTACTTATAATAATAGTTTTCATTCTAGTATTGGGAGGGCGCCGTATGAAGCATTGTATGGTAGGAGGTGTAGGACTTCATCGTATTGGTATGAGTCGGGCGAGAGTGTTGTACTCGAAATTGAGGTTGTACAAGAGACAACTGGGAAGATAAATATGACTTAAGAGAAGATGAAGGCTTCTCAGAGTTATCATAATAGTTATCATGATAAGAGGAGAAAGGATATAGAATTTCAAAAAGACGATCATGTATTTTGAGGATTACTCTGGTGACTGGTATTGGTAGAGCTTTAAAGTCGAGAAAGCTTATGCCGTGTTTCGTTGGCCCATATCGGATATCAGAAAAGATAGGTGAAGTGGCTTATCAGATTACTTTACTGCCTTCATTCAAGAATCTACATGATATGTTTCATGTGTCTCAATTGAGAAAGTATATTCCGGATCCTTCGCATGTGATACAAATGGATGATGTACAAGTGTGAGATAACCTGACTGTTGAAGCATTACCATTGCAAATAGAAGGTCGAGAAGTGAAGCAATTGTGAGGCAAGGAGATCGCCTTAGTGAAGGTATTGTGGGGTGGACCAGTTGGTGAAAGTTGGACTTGGGAACATGAGGATCAGACGAAAGAGTCTTATCCGAACTTGTTTCTGCCATGTAATTTTTTAGGGAGAAAATTCTTTTAAGTGGGGGAGAGTTGTAACACCCCAAATTCTAGATTAATTGTTATTTAATTAATTTAGCATGAGTATATGAGTCATTGTGAAGTGTTTAGAATATGTGATGTTTTGGTGCTTTGTGTGAGTCCTTGTGTTGATTTATGATGTGTATTTGTGATGCAATAGCGATGACTTGATAAATATGATGTTTAAAATGGTGATTTTTATGGTGTAGGATGGGATAATAAGAGTTTTTAGAATTTAAATAATTAGTTTGTAATTACTTATATTTAATAGTAATTATTTAGAATTATTTAGAATTAAATAAATAGAATAGTGGTGTAGAGAAAATAAGGGCAAGATGGTCAATTGGAAGGAATAAGTGGGGTAATAGTGGAAGTTCATTATTAGGGGTCCAAGAGGGTAAGTTTTGTATAAGGAAAAGATTTGGGATTTTACACGATAATTTTGTATGATAGTTTTGGAGGAACACTGTGAAGAGGCAGAGCTATGGCATAGAGAGACAAAGAGGAATTTGTAGAACACGAAGAGGATTTGATTGCTAGAAATAACCTTAAGGTAAGGGGTGTTTAACTTTATTATTATAATTAATCTAAGGTTTATATAGTTGTGGATTATAGTAGGTTTTTAGTTGTGATGATTCGGTGAATTTGGTGATGTTTTAGGGTCTTAGATTGTAAGCAATTGTACACATAATATATAATACATTGGATTGTAGATGTTTGGTGAAAAACATGTGATTAGATGATGTTTTATGACCTATAGTATGCCGAAATCGCAAGATTGGAACTGGTTTTATATAGGAAATCGCAACAGGAAAACCTTATTCGCGTTGTGTCGCCGGGTGATGGGGGTAGCATTTTCGGGCAATGGTGTTGTCGCGTGGCTGTTGCTAGGAGAAAATGGGAGTGACGAAGGGAAGAAAAGAGTGATGCTACTGGAGTGATTTGCTCCAAGCATCGTCGGGCGAAGGTGTAGGCGACGGAAGCGTCGCCAGGCGATAGAGGTATGTCGTCGGGTGATGGTCTCCAGATTTGATTGGTTGTGTTGGATTTTCTTAAAAGAGTCATAACTTGAGTTTTAGAACTCGGATTGAAGTTTCGTTCAAAGAGTTAGATAGCTAACGTAATGAACTTTTGTTTTATGGAATAAAAGAAGATAAAAGAAGTATTTTTGCTAATACCTAAGCTAGGATGAAGTTAGATTCTCGGTGTCATATTACCATGATGCTTTGTTTAATTATATGACGATATTATGTGATATTTTGTTTTAATTATGATGGTAATATGATGATGTGTGTGTATTTAAGATGATATGATAATATTGTGATGAAATCATGAATGATGATGTGTCTTGACTAGTCGTGGTCGTTTTTATTATGTTGTTACATATCATGCATTCATGGCATAGTTTAGGACTTTGGTCCAGTGATGTTACTAGGACTTAGGTCCAGTGAGGATGATAAGACAATTGTCCAGTGAAGGTATTAATCCCATAGTGTGGATTGAGTGCAAAATTATGAAGTGCTCTACTTCCAAGCGGGAATCGATCCTATTGGTGGGGATATTTAGAGATAACGATGACTGAGTCATCAGTGAAGTTTTGGTACCACATGCATGAGTCTATGATGATGTATTTCATTTTAAGTGACATTGCATAATGATGTGATTAAACGATGTTTATCAATAAATGATGCTTTGATAATATGTTGTCATGATTTGATGATGTTGTGAAGGTATGAGTATAACATGAGGTTCTTGTGATGTTTGGTGCCTTTCCTATATGCATGTCTACTATATTTATTCCTTATGTCTTTTAAATGATTTTTATTTACTCACCTTTTCTGTTTGAATGTTGCCTCTACGTGGGTAACGCGTAGGTGATCGAGAACAGACCGTAGAAGCATTAGAGGATAGCTTTGGGGTGTGTTTATTTTCTTTTGTTAAATAAAGGAAGTCTTTCTATGATATGTAACATCGGGTTTAGGATCGATTGGTTGCGAACCTTGCATATTTTGTTATCTTGAGATTTTATATTTCTATCATGACTTTTTCCATATTTTAGGTTATGATATTATAAACCGTAAGTGTGAAGATGCTACTAACCTTTGAGCTACCTTTCAGTGTATTGAGATTATTTTATGAAGAGATTTAAGACTCATTATTTCCGCTGCGAAGTTCAAAATGAATTATTTGTGATACTAGAGATGATATCTAATGTGTTTTCTTTGCAACCCGTGTTACCGAGCAGGATTAATCGTTATTTGATGTTTTATGAAGATGTGATGCCCTTCTTTGGCCTTTGTTTGATTTTAAATTTTCAAGAAATTATATGTGAAATATATGTGGGTTAGAAGGCTGTTACAAGTGTTTAAGTCTCTTTGTGATTATTTTTCTCTTCTCTATATTCTGAACAGTTTGATGTGTGATAATGCTATTGTATTGTATGTTTGGATGGATTGTACGTTTGGTGAATGATTGGGTTGTTGTCTGTTGTTGGGAAATAGAGTGTGGAACTTGGGTAAATTATTTTTCGTGAAAATTGGGGTTTGGGGGATGTTTTGGGACTAGTTTTTGTAAAATAACATTTTCAGAAAACTCAATTTTTCGTGGGTGTAATCAGTTACAGGTTTTGGAGTAACCGGTTACGGTGTCTAAAAAAAGTTGAAAATGGGGTTACCAGTTTTGGTCTAATCGGTTACCACATGGAAAATTGTACACTCTCTATTTATGGAACTGATGTAACTGATTAGGGGATTTTGTGTAATCGGTTACCACTGTTATTTCAAAACTAAATAAATTCATAAATTGAGTTTTGGGTGTCCGATTAAGGTGTCATTCAAAGTGTTAGGAAGCTGACATAATGCACTTTAATTTAAAAATAGTCTTGGAGCCTGGAAATGATTCAATGTTGTGTAATGGTGTTGTATGGTATTTGGTTTGTATGTTATAGTGTGATAAATGTGTATGGACGATATGTTGTTACCCGATGTGTTACTAAAATTCTAATGTAAATGCTTATAGTATATATATGGTGTTTGGTGGATGGTATTGATGTAGTACTTTGGTTAAGGTGAATATCATTGTACATGTTTGTTGTTGTAGCATGTCATTTAGAAATCATGCATCATGGTGTTTAGACGATGGTCCACTTTTGGTGAGCCTCAATCCTATGGTAGGGATTGGGTGCGAGTAGTTGGTTCCAGGTGAGAATCGGTGAAGCGTTACCTATGGTGATCGTAATAATTTTTTGTGTGCTCTGATCCTATGGTGGGTATCAGGAGCAGAATGAACCTGAGAATTCATAATTGGTACCACATGAACCGAAGTCATGGAGTTGAGTCTCATTGCATTGCATATATGTGATGTTTGGATTGTGTGGAGTGATAATTGTTGAAAGCTCATCATATATGTTAATTTATGTGTTTACATATTATTATGCATTTTTATATTATTGTGATTTCTCACCCCTTATGTTTGAATATTGTCTTTTCGTGGGCATCGTGCAGATTATCCATAGTAGATGCGTGGAAGTGAGTGGAAGAGATTACTCTTTTTTATGCTTTTGTTAAGTCGGCGTCTACTCTGATATGTAACACTAGGAGGGAGACCACTTGCTTCTTTATTTTATGTTTGGTGGAGATTATTATGTGAATCTCTTATGTTTCATAATTTCTTATAACTACATTTTATTATAATTATATTTGAAGAGTTAAATTATCCAGTTTATTGATGTTTTCTGCTACTAATAAAATTTTGAAGTTCAGACTTATATTAAGATCTCTTATGTTCTTTAAGTACCATATGTGTTGCATATCCTATTGTATGAGCTGGTTGAAGTCGAATGTAGCATCCTAATTGCTTGATTGTTTTAATTTACTCTAATTTTTATTTATAAATTACATCAGGGAATTAGGGTGTTAAACTTTCAATCCACTAATTCCTATAAACATGCGAGGAATCTTATTTGGACCAATAGAAGTCCCAAACCATTTCGTATTCAAACATTTTCATTTAAAACTTATGTTATTATTTCACGCTCCACTCCCATCAATCATCTTTCATATTCTCTGAACTTTCAACTCCTCTCTTCAGTTGCTTATCTTCTACTAAAATCTTTTTCAAAAATGATAGGGGCATGTCAAGCTACCAACACCTATGGAAAAGAAAAGAATAGCGTACAGAAAATAAATAAATCATCCAAGGAAGGTAAAGTCATTTTCAATATGCATGGAGTAAAAATGAAAGGTTTTTTAATTAGAGGGATGTTTGGTGGTCAGGAAGGAGGTCCTTCCCCCATTGACCAACCAAAGAAGACTAGGAAGAAGAAACTTAAGAATATTATTGACCACGCTCCTATGACTGTGTCTGGCTTAATAGGGAAAGGCATTGAAAATGTCACAAAGGTTCCAAAATACACCAAGGATCCCATCAACCCTTAAGCAAAAGTCTTAAAACAACCATAAGATGGTGGAATTTTCTCCACACTAAGTGGTGTTTCTTGGCACAAAAAAAAGTAAGTCGTCTAAATCTTCTGAACCTCCAAATTTTAGTGTTTTTGCAAATGTGTTTGTTACTAAGATAGTTTCTTACTAAACCTAGCAATAAGACCAGGAATGTTTCAGTTAGTGATTATGAAAATACTAATCGAACCCTAGAAACTATGAATGCATGTGATAACCCTCCAAGCGATAACAGTATTAATAAGATTCTAAGTAAAAAAACATGTTCTAAATAAACATGTGGATAATCGTACTGTGGATATTGATATTGAAAACATCCTGAATGAAAACTTATCAAAAGATAATGAGTCTAGTGAGGAAGAACTCAGATCCTGTTAGGATGATGGCAACAAGGATGTCAGCAAAAACATTGATGACATTCCTCAAACAAAAGAGAATCATTCAGAAGAAAATGGTTCTATAAAAATTTATGATGAATAAGCTAGTTATGATGTTATTGAAGAGGAATGTGAGAAAAACATTGAAGAAGAAAACAAAACGGGTTAACCAGAGGCAAGAAAAGAATACATGGGCCAAGATGTAAGGTAAAAAGACAATGATAATGTTAATGTTACTAAGGAAGTTGATATTACCACTAATGATGTCCTAACAGATGTCAATTACAATTCAGGTGATAGGTTGGAGACTGAAGCTCCAACCCATAATGATGTTGAGCAAGATGTCTTAGACATCGATGTAAGTCCTAAAGAAGTTGGTGATCGGGAGGATGGGATGCATGATGTCAATGAAAAATCATTGTAAATATTAACGATATAGTTTTGGGTATTAATGATAATGGAACTACAAAAAAAATCTGCAAAAAGATCCAACAAGAAGCCTCAGGAAAGGAAATATGTTTTAAAACCCAAGAAAAATACTATCAAAATTTATACCACACTAGGCAAGAGAATAAAAACCTCTAAGAAGAAAGAGGATGTTTTAAATAAAATGAGTATGCAGGGAAGAAGTTTATGTTGAAGAGGAAGAATGTTCCAGAATTAAAAGATGTTGAGGAAGATTTTAGTGTAAATTCGAATTACATGTTGGTTCTTGTGAATAAGAAATGTGAAAAGGTGGTTTGGGGTAAGAAATTACCTGACAATGTTCTACAGTGCCCTTAGAAAACGCTTCCTTCCACTCTAAAAAGATTTTGTTAAATGGAAATACGTCTACCATAGGTGCATTTCTCTTGAAAGAGAACTACCAAAGGAAGCTTTGAAATGCTTTACAATCATGGAATTACTCGAAGAATTTATTGTGAACTTTCCAAAAGGGTTCAATGATGCTAATAGCAGTGAGTTCAATAAGTTTTGTGTACGTGGGAATTGTTTTAAACTCTCCCCTAATATCATAAATGAGTATTTGGGAAGAGGGAGACTCATTAGTCTTTACAACACTTCCTCCATAAAGACCATTGCTCAAGAAATCATAGGAAATGTTCATTATGATTGGCATGTCAAGGGTATCCTCTTTGCTGCAAGTCTAAGTGTGAAGTATGCGATTATCAATAAAAAATGAGTTACTAAATGGGTTTTTACCAACCATGGTTCAGGTATCACATCATCCCTTGTTATTTTTCTCTATAAGATAGGAACAAGAGCTGCCTTTGATTTATGTGAGTGTGTCTTTGAACAAATTATAAATAAAAAAGCTAAATCTTTTTCTATAAACTAGCCTATTGCCATTTCATCCTTGATTATCGATATTCTTGTTAAAAAAAACCTGAATATACTAACTACTGAAGATATTTTTTGAATTTATTTTAGTCTCTTAAATTTTAGCTATCAGTTTTTTACTCAAAAACATGTCCTAGACATTGTTCTCCCCAATCTACCAAACTTTTGTGAAGCAGATTTGTCAATATGTTCCAATATTCTAGAAGGACCTCCAATATCATGAGCTTCTATTGCAAGAGGTAATTGCCACCTCAATTATAAGGAAGAGTATGGTTGATGGTCTCATTCAAATGATGAATCCCAAAGTTTTGTGGCTTCTACCTCTTAGGTAGTGGGTCAAGATGATGAGAAGATTGTTGATACATTTGGTTATAATAATGAATAGGTTGGAAGTGAAGATGGTGTTAAGTGTCAATTTATGCATAAAATACATATCAATTATTGACACTTTTAGAGCTTTTATATTAATTTGGTTAGGTTAAACATTTATTTCAGTCATTTATTTTACCTCATCTCTTAAGATCCAACTTGGTGACCTTGAAAGAAGCTCCGAAAAACCCCAATACAACATCTCCCCATTATCATCTCAATGCTCGTTGCGCATATCACTCTGAAAGTCTTGGTCACGATACTAATAAACTGTTGGGCCTTGAAGAACAAAATACAAGACCTCATTGAAGCAAAAGAAATTGAGTTTGATGCGCCCGAGAAGGCAAATATCATTTCTGCTCCTATGTCCAAACATGGTCACAATGCCAATGCCATTGAAGAAGGATTGTTTGTTACTTCAGTTAATGAACTCATGACCCTACTTCTGACTGTTAAAATGAACTTGTTGAATGCCGGTGTGTTCCCGAGATGTGATGAAGATTTTCGTTTCTGTTTATCCTTACTGACTAGTTGTCCTTTGTTGAAAGTAGGCGTTCAGTGCCTGATGGATAACAAAGAGATTTTGTTTGAAAAGACTCCTGTTACACCTGTTCCTTTTGAAGATGTTTCCATCATTACCATTTCCGCAAATTCTTCCAGGTTCTCCATCAAAAGACCCATTAGAATTGCATCAGTTCCGAAAGCAGCTCCTTTAATAATCACAATGACTGGGCCAGTCCCATATGAATCAGACAAAACTGTGTCATGGAATTATGGAGGGGACATTTACTACCATGGCATCAAGCAAGACTGGCCGGCCGCCGAAGAGATAAATTCCTAGAAAGAAGACTCTGATATCAGTAATATTTCTGGAACTAGAAAAATTACCCGAAGTGGTAGGATCATTTCTCCAGAAATTGCTCCCCCAAAAGCGGTTTCTGGACCCGTAAACATTTTTGTTGTTGTTCCCCCAAAAGTTGTTCCCGGTCCTACATTTATCTCCAACAGTACTCCAATTGACAAAGCCATTACAACCCCTGTAATCATTCTTACTGACACTCCTTCTTCCGAGTTAACTGAGGCTCGAGGAAAAGGTGTTATGGTTGAGCCTGTCTGGACGAAGGCTCGGTTGTTGACTATCCCTGAGACCTCCAAGAAGGAAATGGAGGAGATCTTAAAAATTATAAAGAGAAGCGACTACGATGTAGTTGAACAACTGGGGCAAACTCCCTCTAAGATCTCCATGCTGGCATTACTACTATGTTTTGAGGCACATGCAAAAGCTTTGGTAAAGTTCTTAAAAACCGCCCATGTACCTCAAGAGACATTTGCTGATCAATTTCAAGTCTGCGTGGCCAGCCTAATTACGGATAATGGTTTAGGTTTTTCAGATGCTGATTTGACGCCGAGGAGAAGAAAGCATAATAAGGCATTGCATGTCTCAGTGGAATGTAGGGGCACCACTCTGGCGCGTGTTTTGGTGGACATTGGCTCATATTTGAATGTATTACCCAAAAAAGCTCTTGATGGACTTGACTGTGAGGGGTTGACTTTGAAGCCAAGCAACATAGTGGTAAGGGCTTTTGACGGCTCGAAGAGGATGGTACATGGGGAGGTAGACATTCCCATAAAGGTGGGAACCCAAACCTCCAATCCAAATGTTAAAGTATTCAGTTCAAGGAAAGATTATCACCGTACATGGAGAGGAAGAATACATGATCAGCCATCTCAATTCCTTTAGATATGTGGAACTAGATGGTGAATTAATTGAAACTTCATTTCAACACTTTGAAGAGGTCCCTCAAGAGGTGGCAGTGACTAAGGTTGTCCCCAAGATTACAAGGCCTCCACTCCAGATGTCATCACTGAAAGATGCTAAAGAAGTAGTAGAAGAAGGTGGATGCACTATCTGGGGACAACTCCCATATATCCCATATAAGTCTGACAAGTTTGGCCTAGGTTTCACTTCAAGTTCTCAAAAGGTTGTACGCCATGCACGTGCTGGAGGGCCACCCTTGAAGATCAGCAATCGTGAAGTCAACACAGTGGAAGATGGTGAAAATGGTTACAACCTGGAAGAATGGATCTTCCCGACTATCAATGGAGGGCTCAGCAATTGGGAGGATAGATACTTAATCCCAATCACTTTCATCCCTCAGTAATTTGTCTTTACATTTTGTTGGATCTATAATATTCAAAATAATTCGCACTCTTAAAACCTTGTGTCTTACCCGAGGCACAATGGTCCATTTGTAAGGGTTATTATCTCATTTTCCATATGACATCAATGAATCATGGACGTTTTCGCATACAAAATTTTGAGCTCATTGTTTTTATTTTACATTTTACTTTCTTTCAAAGATAGTTATACCGTTACACACACCCACACTCACAATGTAGGTATACATCCATTCGGGATCCCATGGGTAACGATACTGCTATGGCCTTTTGTAACTCTGAGAATCTAATCTACCAAGCCGAAGGTGAGGAAGATTGTGAGGTACCAGGGGAACATGCCAGGTTGCTACAACAAGAAGATAGAACCATTCAGCCTCACGAGGAACCTGTGGATACGATCAACCTAGGTACCAAAGAAGATAAAAAAATAGGTCAAAGTGGGCGCCAATCTGGAACCCAGTGTCAAGAAGCGTCTGATTCAGTTGTTGCATGATTATGTCGAAGTCTTTGCCTGGTCATATGAAGACATGCCAGGACTTGATGAAGATATTGTGGTACATCGCCTGCCTACAAGAGAGGATTGTCCGCCAGTAAAATAAAAAGTTCGCCGCATGAGACCCTATTCTTTGATGGAGCCTCAAATGCACTCGGCAATGATATTGGTGTTATACTCATATCTCTGGAAGGGTGTCATACTCCATTTACTGTCAGACTTTGCTTCAACTGTACAAACAACATGGCAGAATACGAAGCGTGCATCTTTGGTCTCAAAGCTGCCATAGACTTGGGGATAAATTCCTTAGATGTATTCAGAGACTTAGCTTTGGTTATCATCTAGATCAAATGGGAATGGGACACCAAACACCCTAACCTTATCCCTTATAAAGAACATATTTTGACATTGTTGCCACATTTTGAGAAGATTACCTTCGAGCATTTCCCGCGAGAAGAAAATCAGCTAGCAGACGCTCTAGCCACAATGTCATCTATGTTTAAACTTAATTGGGATAACGAGGCTCCCCAGATCACCATTGAACGAATGGATGAACCAGCACACTGTCACGAGATTAATACTGAAGAAGTAGTGGACTATCCTTGGTTTCACGAAGACAAGAGGTATCTCGAGACTCAAGAATATCCAGAAGGAGCTTCAATCAATGATAAGAAGTTCTTAAGGAAATTCTCTGCTAAATTCTTCCTTAGTAATGGCATCCTCTACAAACGCAATTATGACTCTGTGTTGCTACTGTGCGTAGATAAGGTTGAAGCTGAAAGGATCATGGCTGAATTTCATGAAGGCACTTTTGGCACCCATTCCAGTGGGCATACGATGGAAAAGAAAATCCTACGGGCAGGCTATAACTGGTCTACCATGGAAGCAGATTGCTATCAGCACTCTCGAACCTGCCATAAATGCTAAATTTATCCTGACAAAGTGCATGTACCCCCGGTTCCTCTGAATGTCTTGACAGCTCCTTGGACCTTAGCTATGTGGGGGATTGATATGATTGGGGAAATCAAGCCGACATCCTCCAATGG